TATTCTTTAGCTTTTGTTGTTTCCTCCTGTTTTCTGTGCTATTTTTAGGTTCCCTTTCTTCTAATAATTTGGACCCTGTCGTCATATTTGAGACTGCCCCCAGTGCCTGGTAATTCTTTGTTGTCAGTTAAGAGCCGAGCCCTAGCTCCTGGGGTCGGAGCCCTGTGGTAGGGGTGGGGCTCGTGCCCCCGGGAGCTGGCTCTTGTAACCGTAATCAGGGACCTCAGAGCCTGTGGATGCTGGTCTTCTCTCTGGCACTCTTTAATTTCTCCAGAGACGCATCCTTCAATTTGCAGCATTTAGGGGGTACACCTGGCTCCCAAGGGGCCAGAAGCAGGAAGGAGGGTAGGCCTGGAGGGGGCCGGGAAGGGCCCACCGTTCATCACTATTTCACTCGGTGTGCAGACTTACTACCCTCTGGTCTGACTCTGGAGTTTTATTTCCTCCTTCACGTCCTTCCCCACCGAGCTGGTGTCCTGGAGCCCTGAGCCCATTTCTGCAGAAAATACTTCTGAAGCAGAGTGGGGATCTAGGAGTCTAACGGCTTTGTTCTGCCTGTCTCCAGTTCTAAGCTCACATCCCAGCCACCTGCAGGCCCTCCGCCCTCATCGCAGTGGTGTCGGGCCCTGGGGTGTCAGTCCCCCCGCCTCTGCTGCACCCTGGACCTTCCACTTTGCACGCCTCCACGCGTCTGATGGCGTCTGCCTCGGCTCTGCTCCTCTCTTTCTCTTTATTTTAGTGGCTCCCTGCTGTCTCACTTGATTATCACTTCAGAAGAATATTGGTGGGGAGGAGAGGTAAACCCAGGTGTCCTGTCTGTCACTGACCACCTCTTCCTCTGCAGAGGCAGCTCCTGTGCTGGGAAGATGGGAAAAGGAGAGGGAGGGTATGAGCGTGTGCGTGTGTGTGCACGCGCGTGTGAACCCCTATGACAGACACACCCGGGACACTGCAGCTAGCAGCAGCGTTGGGCATCCTCTGGTCGTTTTGGGAACACAACAGGTAAGTGGAAAGAACACAACAGTGGAAAGAATAAGTGGCCAAATAGGGGTTTGGCCTCCAAGTGGTGATTTTGAAGGGGACACATACACTCAGCTCAAGGGATTAAGTCCTGGAAATTTCATTTTTAAAGTTTGTATTACCTTACTCCAGTAGCTAGCAGGGTTACTTGGTTTTTCACGGTTTGCTGCAGATCTGCGGGCTGATTCGTCCGTTCACCCCTTCAGCCAGTTGCGGTTGAGCCCATGTGTATCAGGCAGGATGCTGAGCGCAGGGGATAAATGGCCATCGGACACTGTCCTCGTCTTGGCAGAGCTTTTGTCAGTGGCGGGACAGTAGAGCAGATAAAGGTCAGTCACACAAGTACATAGTCTGTGTTGAAGACCAGGTGTAGTCTCAGAGATGGGAAGGAACCCCAGGGACCAGAGGCTGGAGCTGAGCCCCCGTGTGACAATGCATGGCTTCTCGAATCCTGATGTAGTATGATATCGCTTTAAAAGCATGCTTCACGTCGTCACATTTGCGTAAACCTGTCAGTTGGCTCTGGCTTCATGGGGTCCCGGGTGAGCACTGAGGCAGGTCTCATGCATTATCCCCTCTGTCCCCACAGTGCCCCCGAGAGAGGGGCTTGCTGAAGCCTGGGGTGTCAGGTTGGGGTCTGCTGTACCTAGAACCTTCTTCCTCCACACCTAGCCTGCCTCCCTGTCCCCACTCTCCCATCCTGGGACTCAAGACTGAGTTCATGGGGACAGAGTTTAGATGTGAACCTCTGCAGGGCACCCATGTAGCTACTGACCACATACTTTCCCCGCATGCTCAGTCACTTCAGTCGTGTCTGACTCCTTGTGACCCCATGGACTGTAGCCCACCAGGCTCCTCTGTCCATGGGATTCTCCAGGCAAGAACACTGGAGTGGGTTGCCGTTTCCTTCTCCAACTTACCTCATAGCTAGTCCAACTTGCCATGGGGAGAGTTTAGGTTGGGAAGCACCTTTACCTGCCTGGGTACTTCTCCTGCTCCAGGGAAGGCAAGCTGTGAAGGCCCAGCCTTGTTCCTCCAGGGCCACTTCCCTAGTCCTGCTGCGGAGCCAGCTCTGGGCTCCTCACGCCCCAAGCAGCCTTGGAGGTGGATCCAGCCCAGCCTGTGGACCCCTGGCTGCAGGCACCTCTGTGCTGTGCACACCCACACCCTCCCATGCACACCCCCACACACGGTTCTCTTCCTCTCATCTCCCTCCTCACCTCCCCTTGGCTGGGGTTGGAGGGCATTACGCATATTCACTTCACCGCACATGGGTTGTGGCTCAGGGCAGAGCTGGGCCATGGTGGACCTTGTTGAATGGGTCTCAGGAGCAGGTTGGAGGCCTGTTAACTGCAGGGGCAGAGGGAGAGAAGGGGGCCTCTGAGGAAGGAGCAGGCCTGCTCCTACTTCCCTCTCCCCTCTCTGCATTCCTGCACCGGCCTCTTCATCATACCAGGGTGTCTTCTCATTCAGGAAAGGGAAGATTCTAGCAGTGGGACAAGAGGAGGGAATCCTCATTTTCAAACCCTGGAAATGATGGCCTTGAATGAAGGGGCACACCACCCCACGGTGGAATTTCCAGTAGCCAGGAATACCCTCCTGAACCCCCAGGCTTTTCCATGGAAGGCTGGACGCAGCTCTCTCTCTTCTGAGATACCGCAGCCTTTGCATGTTCTGCAGACTCTCTGGTTTTTTTTTTTTTTTAATTTATCAAAAATAATGCATTTATTATAGAGAAACCACATAGGCTCCCTTCTTTCTTTGTTCCCTTGGCATCTTGTCACATTTTAATGGTTCCGAAATTGCCATGCATCTGAGAAATAGGTTTGTGCAATTTGACATGATATTTCTTTTTTTCCTAAAGGAGTGTGCTTTAAATCCACAGGTGATTCCCAAAGGCTACATCTTGGAACTGAGGAAATACAAGTACAGTTTGGGAAACAAAAATCTTTCAAACATGGAACCGATGGGAGAAAAGATCCTTGGTAGTAGAAGTTGGGGCCACTGCCTCAAATCTCAGGTTTTCTGAGGAACTTTATGTGTGACCATTATGGGGCCAAGCGCGGACAAGGCCTGGTCTGTTCCGCCGTGTTCTTTCTGTGGGAGTGACATACTTGAACCAGCCTGTCCCGAGATTGTCGCCATACCCTTCCTCCTTCAGCTTTCAGGTCAAACATCTTTGCACATTCAGCATAAGGACCCTTCTTTTCGCTTTATGGCATTTATGAACTTAACAATTGTTTGGTGTGAAAGCAAGCTCTTTTCTTTTGCCAGCTGGCCTTTGGTCTTTTCAGGGGCTCTCTCGGAGAACGTGGCCGTGGGGGCTCTGGGACCCTCCTGGTGGAGTCGGCCCCCACACTCCCGGCTTCGCACGTGACAGCCTGAGCCGTGTGGGCCTGCTGTGCAGTGTGGACATGGGTCGGGGCAGAATCAGGCCAGTTTTGTGTAAAGAACAGAGGCGCTTTCAGCAGTTTGTGAGGACAGCCTGGAGCTTGTCAGATCAAGGAAGGCTTCCATGGTCTTCCCCGGTGGCTCAGCTGGTAAACAATCTGCCTGCCGATACAGAAGACGCAAGAGATGTGGGTTCGATCCCTGGGTCAGGACGATACCCTGGAGAAGGAAATGGCAACCCACTCCAGTATTCTTGCCTGGAAAATTCCATGGACAGAGGAGCCTGGCTGGCGACAGTCCATGTGGTTGCAAAGAGTGGGACACAAATGAGCACACATGCCTCCCACAGTCTAATCTTCAGAAGGAGGAGCAGGGAGACCCCAGGGTGCACTGCAGGGGGCCGGCTGCAGAAGGTGCTGCTCCCCAAAGAGGAGCTGCTCCCAGGTCTTCCCGGAGTCCCGTTGGGGTGCAGCCAGGGTGTGGGAGGTCGATTACCCCTCTGACCTGTTCGGTGCTGAGGGAAGAAGCAGCACAGAGCCTGATCGCCCCTATTGAGCATCGTGGAGAGAATAGGGAGAGCGTGTCCCGGCCAGCCGCCTTCTCTTCTCCCGTCTCCTCGTGAACTCTTCCCACTGACGGTCCCGGCCCCACGGCCCAGGGCCCAGGTCCTGTAAGACTCACATCAAGGCTGGCTTCATCCTTGAACGCTTCTTGAAAGTGGAAGTGAAAAGTGTTAGTTGCTCAATCGTGTCCGACTCTTTGTGATCCCAGGGATTATAGGCCGCCAGGCTCCTATGTCTATAGAATTCTCCAGGCGAGAATACGGGAATGCGTTGTCATTCCCTTTTGCAGAGAACTTCCCAACCCAGGGATCGAACCCAGGTCTCCCGCATCGCAGGCAGATTCTTTACCACCGGAGCCACCAGGGGAGCCTTTAGGGGGAAATTTCTACAGCCGTATACAAGAATATGGCTCCTCAGTGAGACTAGGAACAAGAGGCTGAGTCTGTTTTTATTTTCCTGTCACGCTGGCTTTCAACCTTGAATTCCACTCACAGAACTTGTGCTGAAAAGAAACGGGGCTGGGCGAACCTCTCTGACCCCCTGCCCACCCCCGACGCCCAGTGACAGCAGCCCCTGGCCAGCCCAGTCAGTCCCGGAGCAAGAAGCCGCCCAGGCTCCTGGCAGGCGGTGCCCCCCTCAGCTGGCATTTCATGCCCCATTGGACTTCCCTCTGCACCCTGTACTGTCCCTGGAGTGACTGGTAATGAGCACCTTCATGTGCTGACTTCTCCAGTCCCTTCTTGGTCCATGACAAACAAAAGTTCCTCTTTTCTCATTAGAACCACTTTTGTCAGGCTGTCTTTAATCAATGACTTCCCCAGGGACAATATTTTTAGAAGTTGTATTTTTCACACTCTCCCTGGGCCCCTCTTGGAAAAATCTCTTCCCAGGGCCTGGTGAAGTGGACTAATGAGATGCCGCGTGAGCCTGGGCTGGAGTTAATTGGCGCAGGTACGGAAGCTCCTCACACCCGCCCTCCGTGGCCGCTGCCTCACCTGCGTCCTCTTCTCCGTCTCTTTGCTGCAGGTCGCGCAGACAGCAGATGGTGTGGACGCTGACCTCTGGAAAGACGGCTTATTTAAATCCAAGGTTACCCGATACCTGTGCTTCACAAGATCCTTTTCCAAAGAAAATGTAAGTCTAGTAGTGGCTTTCCGTTTGCTAAGTGAGGACAAGTCATTGCCATTTGTGTTTGAAATTCTGCTCACATTTTTGGTGGTGGTTTTTCATTGCTGTGTTAATTTATCTGTGGTTTTAAGTAAACAGGGTAGGATCAGCAACCACTGCTGGGTTTCATTTATTAACAGTATTATTAACCACATACCCAAGTGTGTAGTGAATTCCATTAAAACCTGTTTTCCAGAGGAAACCCAGAGAAGATTTCTCTCACAGCTCTCATCCTGCCTGCCTTTCATCCGAGCAACAAATTGCAGGGTAGTATGATGTGAGCATCTTCCCGGGGAGCTGGCTTTAAAGCTGATCAGCAGAGGGGAGCAGAGCCAGAAGATGTCCCACGGTCACCCCTCCCCAAGACGTGGCCGTGTTGACTTTCTCCCCAGGTCTCTCTGCCACGTGACATTTCATTTTTTCGGCGAGTAGGTATCCCCCACACATGCAGATTACTTTTACTGTGTTGTTTTAAATACTTAAGCCCATAAATTAGGAAATTTTAAAGGTACCTACTAAAGATGTTCTAATAAGTGGTTTATAAAAAAGAGAAGTGGCTCTTGTGAGTATCCTTTCCTTGTGAGGCCTGTCCTGGGCATTCTGCAAATATGCTGCCTCCATCCTCAGGCTCTTAAAGTAATAGCTTCTGATATCAGGGAGTTTGTGTGCTTGTCTGACACCTGTCTTCCCTAACCCTAATAGGGAGCAGTCAGATTTTCATTTTTAGGGGTGCCATTTTATTTTGGGCCTAAATGCAAAAAAAAAAAAAATCAGATGGGAAATATTTTTATTATTTTTATAAATCTTATGGCAACAATAAAATATGTTCATGAGCAATAAAGAAAAAGTAGGGTCAGACATCCCCAATCAGAAGTCTGGAAGGGGGAAAGGTCACCGTCTTTCTCTCCATCACAAGCCCCACAGCCCCGTGGTCCTGTCACAGTCCTCATGCCTCCCTGCAGCATTTTCTGACTGGGGACCATCGCATGGATCTGTGACCCACACTCTCGTCCAGCAGCCGTTCCTATTTGTTAAGTGTGTGTTAGGAAAATGATTTCTAACATACTCAGGGAGGACTTGTTGCTCTCATTTTTTCCCACTCATGATGAGAGTAATAAATGCTCACTGTAAAGGACAGAGCTCCTTATGGAGGAGGGAAGTTCCTGGCAGCTGGGCCCATGGTGGGTCTGAGCAGGACCTTCAGGTCACAGTGCAGTGAGGAGACCCCAGGGGCAGGTCTGAGGTCGGGTCATGATGCAGTGAGGAGACCCCAGGGGCAGGTCTGAGGTCGGGTCACAGAGCAGTGAGGAGACCCCAGGGGCAGGTCTGAATCGGGTCACAGTGCAGTGAGGAGACCCCAGGGGCAGTCTGAATGCCAGGTCACCTTTCCAGATGTCAGGCCTGTGACGTTCGGGCAGTGCCCCTGGCTCCATCCCTCCATCCTGCGTCCATAAACACCTGTGGTGCTCTCTTGTCCCTTTGGTTCCTGGAGGTTACCTATACTCTTTGAAACTACCCATATTCTTAGCTTTTGTCACCTCTCTTCTGCCTCTGGCTGCCCCTTTCTGCAGGACGTCTGCGTGTTCACTGCCGCGCGGGGCTGCAGGACCAACTCCTGAGGCTTGAGCATCTCGTGTTCACACCCATGCTCTGCCCGGTGGTTTCACGTGTTCACTCTTGATCCCCACTCAGCCTCGGTACCTCCTGCTGAAGAGGAGACCGCATTTGCAGAGGGCAGCCACGATCTCACTGGCTGTTTCTGATTTCTGTTTTTGTTGCATTTCCTTCAAGGCTGTGGGTTGTTGGTACTCTCAGCCAGAAGAGCCCCTGATCCCTTGGAGCAGGGACAATAGCAAGTTAACAAATGAAGTCACTGGGGCTTGTTTAGTGTCATGGGTAAGTGGATGGTAGAAAATACATCGATCTAATCATTTGTCGAACATTCAGGAGGTGTGTGTTGAGTGCCTGCTTTGTATCTCTTACTCTATGAGGGCCAGGCGGGCATGGTGAGGCGTGTGTGGGAGAGGGTGTAAGACCAGGACAAGGGCAGTGGGAGAATCCTCTGCCCCCCTTTTGAAGCAGTAAGGAAATTAGGTGCATTTTATTTTCAGAAAAAGAATGAATGGGTCCTGTAGTGAGACGCGGAGGGAAGGCAGTTCGAAGGGGCGGCAGGGGCCCCCTTGCCAGCCCAGGAGTAGAGCAGGAATGAGCCATATTTTAATCTGTTACAGCCAGTCTGTCCCAGCCCCACTGTCAGAGCCAAGACTTTGCATGGCATAATTTTTTACAACTGCAAAGGAGGGATGTAGAATCTCAAGACTGGACAGATTCTTAATTAGGCGACTTGAGACTCCCTGTGTAGGAGTTTGGGGAGACTCCTCTGGAACCTGAACTCCTTTCCCCCAATAATGCTGTTAACACAGAAACCTGGCTTTGGAGTGACATTGCTTCCTGGGGAAGGATCGAGATTAATTGCACTTTTCATGCCCTGTACTTTCTGCATTACCTGTAATAATAATGTACATAGATTAGGTAGGGAGGATATTAAACAGAAGGATTTATGAACATTTGAATATTAAGTTGGTTATCTGTGGCTACCTTAAATGCAAGGTTGTCAAAAATAATTACAGTATACTAGCAAATACTGGCTACCAGAGACAATATAAATACCCTGAGTCAGTGCATATTGGGCTTTTGGCATGAATCATTTGCTCAACAAGGATTGGGAATACGTTCTTCATATTTATGAGGAGGAAATGAAAGAGAGCACAGGATGGGGGAGGGGAGAGGAACAGGCAAAATTAATGGTGTCGCAGACCTACTGTATTAAACCCGGTGCAGCGGCAGCCCCGGGCACCGAGGGACCTCACTTGGGCTGCGGGAAGCTCTGACAGTGCAACCTCCCTTTCCGTGTGCACAGGAGGGGGGTCTTCATGCCTCTTTTAATGGCTGCACCACTGATGTTCTGGCTTTATGATCAGGGACATTCGTAGAGTATGGAGGGTGAGGTCGCTAAGTGGTTTGCAGTTGACTTCTGTTAAAACCCAACTTGTCAGATAGAAGACGTTGGAGAAGGATATTGATGAATGCCCATCCATCTATAGGGCAGGGAAACATACCCAGCTGTTAATTTCTCAATGCAGAAAGCAGTGACGACATGGAAAAACAACTGCCATGAAAAAAAAAAAGTATGATTAGATCAGACGATTCTGAAAGGAGCTGATGTTTGCGAGTTGGGTTAATGGTTCAAACCCTTTCTCCATGGTCAGAGATTTATTTCATGTTAGGGTTCCACTCTCCACTTGCTGTGCTGGCCTGTGCGTTGTTTTCCCGAGACCCAGCTACCTGAAATGTAATCATTTTAAATCCTCCGCAAATACCAGCTTTTGAAAGAGACGGCTTTCTGACCACAGTGCCGAGAAAACACTGGTCATAGTTTACACTCGACACTTTAACCTTCATGGCTAAATTTCAGGAATTTATTTCATTTGTGTACTTTTGGTTTATAATGCATTTATTAAATATACTTTTAATATTTTTGTTGGCATTATTTATGATTTCTGATTCTGAGTGGCCCGCCTGGTTGAAAATGTACCCCAAAATAGTAATTTATTCAGCAGTAATTATTGAGTACCTACTGTTTGCCAAGATCTATGCTAGGCTTGGATATATAGTAGTAGCAGAGATGGTTTTGGTCCTCATGGTTCTTAAACCCTGGTGGGGAAGCAGATGCTAAATAAAAACCTCACAAACATGCCATTAGAAACTGATACGAAGGAAAGCTGAGAGTGCCAAGAGGGAACAAAGCGTAGAGTTGAGATGATAGGAGTCCCTGCTTGGCTTTCAGTGATGGTGCTGGCACGGGGCATGACAGGTGGGGCCACAGAGACTGAGGGCTGCGCCCTTCTCTGAGCAGGCCAGGCTTGACTCTCCTGCCGTGCAGGGCAAGGTGGTGGGGTCGTCTGGGAACACAGCACAAGTAAACCGCACGTGTGCTTATGGGGGTTTGGGCATTTCTGGAAGATGGGCATGCCAAGTGCGTTGTTAGCATCCTAACAGGAGAGATTTGGGATGGGAAGGCATCATTCTTTTTCTAACTGGCTCTAACTAGAGAGGGGGGGGAGCTAAGTTGTAAATGACTCTGAAGATGTTAATGAAACCTCCGAGGTGGCCCCACTTTGTTTTAAGTTGTAGGGTAGATCTCTTTAGAGCTCGTTTCCAACTTGAAATGTGGGCTGCAAGTGCCAGCGCGTTTGCAGAGAATTCTCTCTCGCAATTATGGGACAGCGTGCCATCTTCGAAGATATTTTTGCTCTGGTTATGGAAAACTGTGCACTGTGGACCCCATGCACCACCACTAAGTAGAAGCTTTAAGAGGCCCCTGTGCATGTCATTTTGGAAGATGTGTAATATTAGGCAACAGGGCTTTTCCACTCTGTGTGAGTTTACGATTCGTGGGGTTTTACAGAACATATCTAGCCACTGAAATGTGTGTCAATATGCAGAGACCAGCGATCATTGGGGTGTGGTTGATTCTCTGTTAGAGATGCAGCTCCCCTGCCTCCCAGGGCAACAGCCACCCCGGGAATGTGCTCTTCTAAACCTGCTTCCCTGAGAGCTGATGCTTAGGGCTAAGGGGCCACGTGGTCCTGGAATGTGGGTGCACAGCTGCCCTCTGCTCGGTTACATCTCGGGCATCTCCTGGGCCACTTGTCCTGCAAACCAAGGACATGTCTGAGTGGCCTTGAGGTTCTGCAGATGAAATCCTTTCCTGGGGGCCACCAGAGTCCCCGTGTAGCCGCTGGGGATCATTAACTGGCACCTACTCTAATTAACCTGCTGTCGTAAAGCTGCATGAGTCGTTGTGTTAAATATGCGTTTTGAAGCCAGAATGGCAGATCCACCACAGGCGTGTTCAGATTAATCGTCTGTATCTCCTTTCTTCCCAAGAGCCATTTAGGGAACGTGTTAGTGGACATGAAGCTCATCGACATCAAGGACACTCTGCCTGTTGGCTTCATCCCGATTCAGGAAACGGTGGACACACGTGAGTCACCCTCTGGCCCTACTCACCACAGTGAGAGTTTTCTTCCTCCAGGTGTATGTGTAGACATTTTTATGTGCAGTTTGCTTCAGAAACATTTTAGGAGGGCTTACTGCGTGCCCACAAATAAACCCTGCTGCTTTTGACATGTGTCTGACTTGGCTCTACTTTGGCATGTTCTGGGTAGAGGTGTGGAAGTGAGCAGAACTCACCCTTTTCTCTGAGAATGGGGCTCCCTGCTGAATCAGTTCACTTGGGAAACCGGTTGTAGTTTGTCCTTAGCCCATCCTCCGGTGATGCTGACGCCAAGCTTCACACAAGACCCAGAAGCAAAAGGAAAAAACCCAAAAGATGCTCAGGGAATACAAGTGCCCTGATGTCCCCACTTTTGGTTCTTGGAGTATAGGAAAAGTCAGAACCAGAAAGACTGCATGTTAGAGTCCTCAAGATCTGAAACTGAGGGAAGACCCTGAGCGCCAGGGAGCAGGAGTGAGTGGCTGACACGCCGGAAGCTTCTTCAGGACCGCGTGGCAGCCTGAGGTTCTTGTCGTGCGTGGCGTCAGTCACTAGACAGTGCTGGAAACCTCTGGGTGGCTGAGCCGCCTCAGTTTAATGTACGCCAACTAACTTGCTTTATTTTATATTACTTAGGACCAGTGTTAGGATAGCCGCAAGAGTGATGTGGCAAATAAGAAACAAATCCAGAGGATCCTTCCTTTATGACACACAATCCGTCGTGAAACTTTGCATCTCACTTTTTGTCACACTTACTTTGTTTTTCCCATTTTAGACCTACTTTTTTGGGGGCGGGGAGGGGGCGCTGTTTTCCTGCAAACATTTCTTATAGATCAGACTTTCCGTATCTACATGGACCCCACATAGCTATTATTTTAATGAAACAAGTGGATTCCATGGGTAGCATACTTAAGCTCTCTTCGCTTTTGGACATTGGTCTACTTCTAGTTGTTTGTTATTAACATGTATTAGCTAATAATTTCACAGCAGTCAGTATTTAGTATGTGTTTACTATGTAGCCCCTGTCATAAATGTTATATATACCTGATCGCATTTCATCTTCAGAAGACCCCTGAAGATAGGTACCTATTTGGAGATAGGTATTATTAATACATACCCATTTCACATATGAGAAAAATGAGGTTCAGTAGCAACTTAAGGATTAAAGAACTTATCCAAGGTTAAACATGGAATGGAATGGAAAGAATACATGGAGGAACTATATAAGAAAGATCTTAATGAACCAGATTACCACAACGGTGTGGTTAATCACCCAGAGCCAGACACTCTGGAGTGCGAAGTCCAATGGGCCTTAAGAAGCACTGCTGTTAGTATGGTACTGGCACAAAGACAGAAATATAGATCAATGGAACAGAATAGAAAGCCCAGAGATAAATCCACGAACCTATGGACAACTTATCTTTGACAAAGGAGGCAAGGATATACAATGGAAAAAAGACAACCTCTTTAACAAGTGGTGCTGGGAAAACTGGTCAACCACTTGTAAAAGAATGAAACTAGAACACTTTCTAACACCATACACAAAAATAAACTCAAAATGGATTAAAGATCTAAATGTAAGACCAGAAACTATAAAACTCCTA